ACTCCATTCAGTCCACACTTTTTTTTTTTTTACATAGTAATTTCTGAAGCAAAATAAATTATCTACCATCTGCTACGTTGGTAAAGGTCCTACCTAGCATCTTGTCGGGAACTACTAGAACATCACCTTTCTTACGGACTAAGTGAAGTGGTATCTCACCAGCGACTTGAACTCTTTTGTAGCTGCATGTAAACATACCCTTCGATTAACGCTGAAAATGTGCAGAGTGAACTGTAACATTACAGGGAAGCAGAAACGGAGCTGCCGAAGGAGAGCTGCACTGGTGTTAGTTAGGGGAGCGAGGGCCGGTCCGCTCAGACACACACACGCACGATCTGGCAGTGGGATCTGACCCGCAGAGTGTGGAGGGGTGGTTGAGAAGGCATCCGTTTGCGAGCAAAGCTTGAAGGACACAAGCCGAGATTCTCTGTGCACACTGTCCGCTCGAGTCAGAACTGACTCGCGCTGCTGGGGTCGCACTGTAACAACCGCACGATGGACGGGTCGCTCTTGGCACCTTTGATGAACTCTTCCAGCGACAGCTTACCTGAAAGGGAGGAGAAACCAGAAGGGAAATCATTTTTCAAATGTCAGTTGTTGCTGCCACCGTCACCGTAGCTTAAAAAAAACCTCTCTGTGCTGAAGCAACATACATATATTTAATCTATCACAAAGGGGAATTTAGTGCAATGCACCGCAGCCAAATCCTACTCAAGCCCTTAAGCCCAGACGCATTTTCCTTCTGCAAAACAATCCAGCGTAATAATTGCTATTTTTTAATTTAAAAAGACAGTGCCAAACATAAAAACAACTGGTCTAATATAACTTGCAGCTTTTTGCCTAGAACCGGACTGTACAAATCACACATGAACACAAGGTACCTGAACACATGTATGCTTTGAAACTGATGTTTACATTGCTATGACATTTTATACCTAAATATCCCAATCTCCCCACTTTGCCCCCTTGTTTGTTGTGACATTTAGGGCTGAGCACTGACAGCTTCTCCTGCACCTCCAAGGTCAGTCTGGGGGGGGTCTGAGCAACATGGTGTAGCTGAAGATGTCCCTGCTCATTGCAGGGGGGTTGGACTAGATGACCTTTAAAGGCCCCTTCCAGCCCAAAGCATTCTGTGACTATGATTCTACAAGCCACTTGCTGTGTCCTGCTGGGTGCACAGGGACAGGACTCGTTCCACAGGGCTGCAAGAAAAGTCAGCCGAGGAGGAACCACCTATTGCCACACATCACTTCTGAGCATTTCTGGTTCATACACCTTCGGTTTAGGCCAGAGGCACTGACTTGGATGGAACCTGTAATAGTCTGTGGGTCTGAAAAGGAGAGCTCTGGAGGAGTGACCGTGAGGAGCAACTGCCTCTGCATCTCCCAGCTCCAGCTGTCCTGCGGCACAGCATGGCACAGGATGGCAAGTGGTTGCCCACTCCTCATCCTGGGGTAACCCAGCCTCCTGGCAGGTTTTTCCCAGCTCAGGACAAGTGCCCTGCACAAATGCCATCGGGAGCTTGTGAGTAGCCTCTGCTTTGCCTGCTATTACCAACACTCTCCTGCTCCAGCACTCTGAACCGTAGCAGAAAAAAGTCATAGCAGTATTAATGAGAAATGAAAAGTTTTCCCCATGAACTGGAGGAGACAAGCATTTGCTGTGACACTGACAGTGTGTCCAGTGAGCCCCCATCTGGCTTGTGCTTCCAGCACAACCTACCCTCACCCTCACACAAAGCCCCAGGGCTATCCTTACCCAACTCAAACTATTCGACTCAAGACAGGCAGGTCCACGCATGAACATCTTGCACTTGGCAGCTGCCTCCTGCCACTTTTAGCCATGTGCCCCTGAATGGAGGGAGGCACAAGCTCAGTGTGCTGGTTTTCACCAGCTCCAGGATGCTCCCAGCCTGCCAGAGGGATGGGGGGAGGACTGAGCTCAGTGGCCAGCACTCGAACCAGGCTGAACAGGGAGTAATGAGGAAACCTTTCCCTTGCAAAAATTACAGAAGCTCAAAAACCCATAGCATGCTTTTGTCCTGATTTGTCCATAAGCTTTGAAGCTTATGTTACCAAGCCAAGTGTCTTCTGAAGTTTTTATCAGCTTGAAAAAGAGTACTCATAACTATCAGGACATTTTTTAGTTTTCTCCTCTCCTTGCAATACTTAAGAGCAAAGCACAAATAAAAATCAGTCAGATGGGGATGGAAAAACTTTTCCAGCCACTAAGAACACATGCACTTCCCTTTACTACTCGGCACTGCGTGGCTTGCAGGGCTGGGATTTTACTGGGAAGGAGATGACTTTATTTCAGCAACAAAATGCAAGGGGTGGAGATACATACAGCAGGTTTTGTGACCGCTACTCTGTCCCACATCTGCACGCACACCTCTACTTTGTGCAGAGCAAAAACACTTTGATGATGTTACTTTAGGGTCCTCCGCACATGAAGTTGGGGGATTAAGTGCTAGTTTTGATAAAGTCAAAGGTAAAATATTCAAGAATTTCAGTAAGGCCAGGAATTTGTCCTGGGGTCTGCAGTAGCAAGTACCAAAATGAAGCCATAAAATTATCTTAAAAAAACCCTTTCTCTATGTAAGGTATTTTTCCAGGTCTCCACATCTCAGCACTAGAACTAAATCTTTGCTCCCACTGAGCACATTGGTAGGATACAGCTCCTGATTTTGACGTGGGGAGCTTCCACCTTGGCTGTTGGTAGGTTAAGTCCTAGGGAAAGCTCCATCTTGACTGGGACAAGAGGAAACACATTGGCAGGCTGATGGGCAAAGGAAATCAATCACTCACTTTTGCCTGTGGTTTTCAAGCCTACAGAAATGAACTAGCTCAGGTAGAGTGGTTGTGATAGGTATGCTGTCAGATAATCTATCAAGTGGCTCCACAATTGGCTCAGGAGCTGTTACATCCCCCTGACGTGCGCACTGCAACAGAGTAAATGTTGCAGGACTCCATGTGACCATGTGTATACGTACACGTGCTGTGGATATGCACAGAAAAAATAAGTGTTATGGATCCAGAGGAATATTTGCTTTCAGGTACCCAAACCACATCCTCGACTTGAACTCCTGATGACAAGCCCAGGAGTGCAACCCGATCAAGGGCAACGGGAGCAAACTCTTGTGCCAAGTTTGCGCTGCACCCTGAGAAAATAACCCAAAGATCCTGGACTCGGGGGAGTCTCAGAGGAGCCTTTGCAGAAGAGGACTGGCCCGTGAAATGCCAGTGAAGGACTCGCAGGGCTCCCCTCCCAGCAGAAAAAGTCTCTCACCCACTGCCCACTTATTCATCCTATTTGTTATGGACCAGAGATGCTGAGAGGCCAGGCAGAGACCAGAGGCACCAGAGGGGACAACCCCATCCTCTATTCCCCCATCCTCAAACACCATCATCTGCTTCTATCAACACCAGCCTACAAAACCTCTACTTCTAGAGCCTTCAAAAGGGTGCTGGTAGAGATCCTACCATCGTTGTTTGTGTCCATCTGTCTGAAGATCTTGTCTGTACGCTTCTCGGGAGTGGATTCATCTTCTGGCATTTTCATTACCGATGAAACCATTTTGTAGATTGCCTGAGTATTAAAAAAAAAAAAGAAAGAAACAAAGAAAGAAAAAAAGCTATAGGAAAAACATGACCTAAATGATAGAGGATCAGGACTGAGAAAAAGAATTTAAGCCTGTAGCAATAAAAAAAGGCAGCTGACCCTATTAGGCAGCTGCAAGACTTTATAAACCAAAACAAATAGGAATTTCTGACTCCAGCTTTTTTATTTTTCTTTCCTGTACTCAATTTGTGCTTCAAAACAAGCTCCCGCATCACTGGGCCAGTTTAACTGAAAGTCAGGTTCTAGACAATGTAAAAGCAGGACTGAGCTAAAATGTAGGAGGCAATGATGTGTAATTGTCTTTTCTGCAACTGGAGAAGGGCATTGTCTCTTTGGCTGGCTCCCAACACACAGTTCAGTGTGTGGGGTGTACTGAATGGATTACAGGCGAATATGTTTATCCAGGAAGATGGGCTGTTTTTCTTTGTGGATTGGTACAGAAATCCATTTTCAGACTTAGGAGAAAGTGAGTTAAGGCAAAACCTCTTTAGGATGTCTGCAGTCCTAGCCTTCCTCCTAAACTGTCCTCACTCAGCCATGAGGACCACCACCGGGGCACTAGCTGGATGTAATACCTGCTTCCCAGTGGCCCTTGTAGTGCACTGCAGACACACCTCAGGCACAGAGCAGATGGCAAGCAGCTCACTGCTGAGGCTGAGCCCCCCTGGCACATGGGGCAGGGGCACAGGAGGCTCTGCCCCACACGGCCCCTGGTACAGCTCGTGGGCTCTGTGTCCCTCGCCTTCACGAGACAGACACGCTACAGCCGTTCATTTGGAGCTCACGTTGACTCAGATTTGAAGTTTCAGAGTACTAATTTTGAGATTAATCATGTCAGTAAAATTTGCATTTATGGATTTTTGATCCCATCAACACACCGTTGAGGAATCCCCAGGGAGAGCTGCACGATTTTGACTGTGAGCCAGTTGCACAGTGCCCCATTCATCTCTCAGGCTCTTCTGTGCCTCATTTGTGCCTCACAGGTCCCACTATGCCCCCCAGTGCCTTTCTGGGGACCATGGGCTCAGGAGCAACTCAGCTCAGCACATCCCTCAGCTCCAGCTGTCTCAGGGTAAAGAGCTTACAGCGACATGAATAAAGTGTCAGAAAGAGCCGGTGCCTCACCTGCACTATTTCCAGCATTTCCCCGCGGCTGATGTACCCGTTGCCGTCCAGGTCGTACATACTGAACGCCCACTTCAGCTTCTGCTCCAGCTTGCCGCGCGAGGTGACGCTCAAGGCGATGATGAATTCCCTGAAGTCGATGGTGCCGTCGCCGTTGGTGTCGAAGGTGCGGAAGACGTGCTCCGCAAACTTCGACGCGTCGCCGTACGGGAAGAAATTCGCGTAGATTTTTTTGAACTCTTCCACAGTCAAATGGCCCGTTGGGCAATCTTTTAGGAAGCCCTTGTACCACTCCTGAAGCTCGTGGTCTGTGAACTCGGTGTTCTCGCGCAGGTCCTGGAGCACCTCGGGGCGCAGCTTGCTGTTCTGCTTCCCCATCCTCTTCTGGATCCGGGTTCAGCA